AAAAAATCCTCACAACTGGACCAATAAGCAACATGATAAATGGAGAAAAGATTGAAGTTGTCAAGGATTTCATTTTACTTGGATCCACAATCAACACCCACCATAGCGGCAGTCAAGAAATCAGAAGATGCATTGCATTGGGCAAATCTGCTGCAAAATACCTCTTTAAAGTGTTAAAAAGCATAGCGTCACTTTGAGGACTAAGGTACACCTGACCCAAGCCATGGTATTTTCAATCACCTCATATGCATGCAAAAGCGGGACAATGAATAAGGAAGACAGAAGAATAATTGATGCATTTGAATTAGGATGTTGGCAAAGAATATTAAATATATCATGGACTGCCAGAAGAACGAACAAATCTGTCTTGGAAGAAGTACAGCCAGAATGCTCCTTAGATGTGAGGATGGCAAGACTTCATCTCATGTACTCTGGACATGTTATCAGGAGAGACCAGTTCCTGGAAAAGACATCATGCTTGGTAAAGTAGAGGGTCAGAGATAAAGAGGAAGACCCTCAACAAGATAGACTGACACATTGGCTGCAACAATGGACTCAAACATAGCAATGATTGTGAGGATGGTGTAGGACTGGGCAGTGTTCTATTCTGTTCTACACAGGGTGGCTATGAGTTGGGGGCTCTGACTCAAGGGCATCTAATGACAACAACCACTACATAGGAATCCTTGGGTGGTGAAAACAGTTAATATGCTCAGCTGCTAACTGAAAGATTAGAGGTTCAGGTCCACCCAGAGGAGGCTTGAGAAAGGGGACCTAGTTTTGACAAAATTAGCCATTGAAAACCTTATGGAGTACATGGGGCTGATATACATTGGGTTACCATGAGTCGGAGTTTACTCGACAGCAAACAAAAGGGAAAAAAAAAATAAAAACTCACTAGATAAAAAGAACTTTCATAGAGGACATTAGATTGGGGAACATAATCAAATGTTAAATTGATCAAATAAACAACATAGAATCAGCTATGAATATTGATCTCAAGCATTAAAGTTTATGTTGCCATTAAATAATCCTCAAAACAAACCTATTGCCAACAAGGTAACTAGACAAAGTGTAAATAAAATAGACAATTTCACCTAAGCCACCCCCAGTCTTCTTTCTTATCTTGCCCTCTCAGTTCCGTCTTCTCACCTCATCTCACCTCTAGATAATTCCAGATACTGAAAGATTTGGTGGTAACAAAGTGGGAGCAGTGAGAAAGGGCTCTGGATCCTTCACTACATGGGGTTTTGAGGGGCAGGATTGAATTTAAGGGAGAGAAAAGAGAAAGGGAGAAGGCACGCACTATTTACTCCTGAGTTTCCCAATCACTGAAATTTAGTGTAGGAAATATTGATCCCCTCAGCCCTAGGCAGGGCTTGGGGTCACTAACGACCCCCAGCCAGATGTCTTGGGCACCAACAAATTCAGGCAGTTACCTCAGCACACCATTGGAATATTACTATTTTCCAAGGGTACCAGCACATGTACAGGGTTAGGAATGATCAGCAGTGACCCAGCCTGACCCAGTTGCCCAAACAGATTGAAACCATTAAAACAGATAAGAGACAGAATTGTGATGAGTATCAAAGCTGATGTGATTTCTGGGGCAATAGAAAACTCTCTTGCCAGCCACCCCTAAGTTCCCCTGTCTTCAGCTCTGCAATTTTTAGGCAAAAGACTGAAAAGTTGTCCATTTTATAAATACATTTCAATTAAAGCGTTAATGAGTAACTTATCCTTTCTCCTTGGAGAGAGTGAGAAGCTACAAAAAGCAGCAAAGCTGGGCCCTAGAGTCACAAGGGATTTGACAGAAAAGGGAAAGTGAGAAAAGGTGGAAGCCTGAAGTCCTGAAAGTAAACTGCACTATTTTGTCTTGGCCATGGGCTTCTCTTCCCCTAGGTGCACATCATACATGGCTAGCCTCAGAAGGACCCCTAGTGAACACTTTATCCCAAACACTTGTGGGCAAGCAGAACCAGCTGAGATCACTGTGTCCAAGAAAGGTCAAGGGAGGCTTCGTGGAGGAAGTGGCTAGGCTGTGCTCTGAATGAGTGGGAGAATCAGGATGGGCAGGAAGAAGGACTAGGGCATTCTCTTGAGGACATGGTTACCCTCCAAACTCTCAGTGAGTCTGCCTCGAGAGTCATAAATCAGACCATCAGCCCATTTCATAGGCCCAGATACTGCTGTGTTCCTTCCAGCACTTTGCATGACAGATAGTAACACAAATATCTGTCATTAGTCATTGAAAACCTTATGGAGTACATGGGGTTGACACATATCGCGTTGCCATGAGTCAGAGTTTATTTGACAGCAACTGAAAGGAAAAAAATATCACTAAACAAAAAGAACTTTTATAGAAGAAATTAGATCGGGGAATATAATCAAGTGTTAATTTGATCAAATAAACAACATAGAATGAACTATGAATACTGATCTTAAGCATATAAAGTTTATGTTGCCAATAAATAATCCTCAAAACAAAGCGATTGCCAACAGGGTAACAAACAAAGTGGAAAGTAGACCATTTCACCTAAGCTACCCCAGTCTTCTTTCTTATCTTGTCCTCTCTGTTCCTTCTTCTCTCTTTGTCTCACCTCTGGATAATTCCAGATACTGGAGGATTGGGCAGCAAAGAGGTAGGGGTACCTCATTACTCAAATTAACTCAAATATCTTTCACACAAAGTGGTGGAAAAATCCTGCTGGCCTAATAATAATAATATTAATTGTTTATATTTATTGAGCACTTACTATGATCAGGAACTGTGATGAGTGCTTTACATTATACTTCAGTTAATCTTCACAGTAATCCAATAAGGTAGAGTCCTTATTATTCCCATTTTATAGATGAGAAAACCAAGGCCTCCGGCAAGAAAGTGGTGAAATTGGGGTAAGAGCATGGGCACTTAACATTACCAATCTGCAGCACAGGAACCAGTGGTAAAAGTAAGCATTGTGGTTAAAAAGAAAGAAGAGGGACTAGCAAGAGAGTATAGGGACTAAGGTTGCACCAGCCCCACCCCATCTCCTTTGTAAAACAAAGGCAGGCAAAATGGAGAATAACTTGCCCTCCTCCCCCCATTAAAAGAACAGGAGCCCCAAGCAGATGAGTACAAGGTAGGCATTTGACAGACAGGCCCATGGAGAAGAGTGGCTTTGGTGATCACCTGTCAGGTTTTTGTCTGTGATAATGATTTCATCCACATAGAACAGGCCCATCTCCTGAGCCAGAGGGAGGAGGTCTATCCGATGAACCAGCACGGAGGAGTTTGCTAGAGGGGGCTGCAGATACCCAGAGGGATGCACACAAGTCTCCCAGAGGTCAGTACAGGTGAAGAGCCAGCTGAAAAACAAGCACCCAGCAGAAATGGGCCTCTCAGTGTGCACCACCAGCCCTCTCCCATTACAGCCCCACTCCTCAAACCCAGGAGCCTGCAAACTGTGCAGCCAGGGGCAAAGCCCTGTGAACCCCTGCACCCAAACAGTCCTGTGTGCCCCAGGTGCAAACATCCCATCCATTCCAAGACAGTTTCAGCTCGGCTTTTGATATAACACTTTTTCTACTTGCCATCGAATCAGTCCTGACTCTTGGCGATGCCATGTATGTCAGAGTAGAACTGTGCTCCATAGAGTTCTCAATGGCTGACATTTCAGAAGTAGATTGCCAGGCCTTTCTTCAGAGGTGCCTCTGGGTACACTTGAACCTCCAACCTTTTGGTTAGCAGCTGAACATGTTAACCATTTGCACCACCCGGGGACTCCTTGATATGACACTAGTGAGTCACATTTTAAGTCAAGCATTCATTCATGACACTCAATGTTAGCAGCAATTTCAAGTTACAATACGATTGTGTGTCTTAAGCAGATTATATGTTAAGGATCTAAACACAGAGAAGATAGATACTCCTGAACATTACTGGACTCGTTTGGGTTTAAACCACTTACAAAACCCTAAGAGACATGTGGAAAGAGCACTGAATCAAGGGATCAAGATGCCTAGATTGTACTCCAGGCTCTTTTGTTCACTCACTGAATAAACTTTAGTGAAATCACAAATTCTCTGGGCCCCAATTTTTCTCATCTGTAATGTCAAGGAATATTCTCTAAGGCATCTTCCAAATACAATGCTCTATGATCCCATCCCTATGAGAAATGCCAGACTTCATCTAGGAATTAGTATATTCTTAACAACTAAAAGGGGCCCTGGTGGCACAGTGGTTAAGAGTTCACTTGCTAACCAAAAGGTGGGCAGTTTGAATCCAGCAGCCACTCCTTGGAAACCCTATGGGACAGTTCTACTCTGTCCTATAGGGTTGCTATGAGTTGAAGTCGACTTGATGGCAACGGGTTTGGTTTTGGTTCGAACAACTACAAACAAACAAACAAACAAACAGTTGCCGTGAAGTCAATTCTGACTCATGACAACCCCATATGTGTCAGAGTAAGACTGTGATCCATAGGGTTTTCATGACTGTGACCTTTTGGAAGCAGATTGCCAGGCCTTTACTCCAAGATGCCTTTGGGTAGATTCGAACCTCCAACCTTTCAGTTAACAGCCAAGCACTACCCAGGTACTCCCTTCTTAACAACTAACTGCTGTTAAATCATATTTCTTTGTCAAGTAGAATGTGTTCAAAGTCTCAGGTTAGTACCAAGGACCAAATATAAGAGACTGGTAGTACCTCAGGTGGACCTTTGTCCCCACAGAGCTAATAATCCCAGCTGACTGCATTCCTACCACAGCCCACCACAGATTAGCTACCTCTCAGGCTTGGTCTCCACGGGACTCCAGTCACAGGTGATGTTCTTCTCGATGCTTTGAAAGTCAGTTGTAAAGGTCAAGATCATCTTCAGGACGCCGTTCATGTAGCCTTTGTATGCAAAGCACAGCTATAGACACCAAATAAATCCTTCAGTTCTACTAGTGCAAGAAGCAGCCACGCAATCAATATGTGTCAAGGATAACCCACATCCCTAGAACCTTGCCACATGCTCGAAGAGACAAAGGGCCCACCCAGTTCCTGCCCTCCTAGAGCTTACCAGCTGGAAAGGCAAATAGTTTTGATTAAATTGTTTGTCCAACAGAGAGTTGTTAAATGCCTAGCACAGTGCTTGGCAGTGAAGATTTGAGTGAAAAGACCCTATGCTTAGTGTCTCACTTAGAAAATACCTATTCTTACCCAATTACCTGTACAACTTTGAGCGTGACACTTAAACTTCTCTGACCCACAGTTCCTCAGCACTCACTCCCAGGCATCCTTGGGCTCTAACTCTAAGTTAAGTGCAAAACTGTTTGACATACGAAGACTTTAAAGAAGTAGTTTTCAATCTTGGCAGTATTGGCATTTGGGGTCAAATAATTCTTTGCTGTGGGGGCTGTCCTGCACATTGTAGGATATTTAGCAGTATCCCTGGCCTCTACTAACTAGACAACAATAGTACCACCATTCCTGGTTCAGTTGTGACAACCAAAAATGTCTCCAGACACTGTCAAATGTTCCCTGGAGGGCAACATTGCCCTGGTTTAGAACTGTTGATCAACAGCGAGGGCTGGAAGGTGGGTAGCAGCCCTGACGTGAACCACTTTAGCCCTGGATTCCACTGCAACCCAACTAGAAAAGGACCTGTAACCCCGCCCGGAACCCAACAAACCCAACAAAGCCCAACCAATCCGGGTCCCAAAAGGCAAGTGAGCACTATCTACTTTTCTGAAGGGCAGCAGAGCTACTGAAGCAAAGAGTCTAAGATGTGCTTAAGAGATATGTCAGTACATCTATCAATAATAACAATAACTATAACAATTAACAATAACTAGGCCTTCCCACTGTGCAAGCACTTTACTGGATTATCTCATTTAATCTTCACCACAATTCTGAGAGGTAGAGCACATTATTACCCATTTTACAGACAAACTAAGGCATAGTGAGAGCATGCAAGGTGGTGAGTCAGGATTCAAACCCAGATAGTCTGACCACAGAGTCTGAACTTTCATACCTGGAAAGCAAAGAAAATATTGAAATATATATAAATTTCTATAGATGTCACAGCTAATACAGAGGCCTTGCCATGTAACAAGTCACTGGTGGGGGATAGGACTGTCAGTTAGGTACACACCTGAAAGAGAAGTCAAGAGGCCCAGAACCTCAGCCTGAAAGCCCTTGGCAAACCACAGCAATCACTACTTTGTGCTCTGTTTTTTCGGTCTCAAACGCAGAGAAATAGTACCCATCCCTCCCTGCCCACCTGCCCAGAAGCACAAGGACTGCTACTTACATGTGCATACTGGTCTAGCTGATACCCCTTCTGGCCAGCCGGGGGTGTCAGGACAAGGTGTCGAGGCTGATGGAGGCTGAACCTTCCACAGAAGGGCTCCGTAGTGCTGGTGAGTTCCCCATCAGAGCTGGAACCTTGTGGGCCTGGATGCAGTTCGCATAAAGTAGAACATGGTTTAAAAGCAAAGACCAGGAGGAAGGCAAGCATGGATGTAAAACAAGACAGAGCTTCCCAACATGTGTGCAGGGAATGGGTTACTTGTTCACCTTGACACTGATGCCTTACAACCATTAGGAGAGCTGAGCAGGGCTTGGGGTGGCCAGCACCCCCAGCCAGAAATCTCCAGCCATGAGAAACCCATCGTCTGCCCCAGAGCACTGAGAATTTATTATCATTTCTGTACGTACCATGACCTGAAAAACTGTTCAGAAACAAACAGACAAGGAATACTGACTGGACTTCAGTTCATCTTAGTAGTATTTGGGGAAAAAAAAAAAAACTTCACATTTTAAGAATTTGTTAAGACTACTCTCTTATGCAATGATTCATTTAGATGAGATGCATATCTGAACTGAACAAGATTTGTAGAGTTTTGCTGTTTGCCACCTATATATGTTGCCCGTTTTTCAATGCACACAACAGGAAGTATTTGCGTAGTACTTTACTCCACCTGGGAGTCTTAGGGTGATGCAAACCGTTAAGTGCTTGGCTACTAACTGAAATGTTGGATGTTCGAGTTCACCCAGAGGCATCTCAGAAGAAAGGCCTGGTGATCTACTTCCAAAAAATCAGGCATTGAAAACCGTATGGAGTGCAGTTCTACTCTGACATTTCATGGAGTCATCATGACTCAGGATCAACTCAACAGCAACTGGACTGGTTGCTCCACCTAACAGCTCAGGAGGAATGCCTTTTCTTTCTACTGATGTCCACACCAAGCATCTCCCTTCCGAGCACCCAGCCACTCCCTTGGCCACTCAGTATCCAAATCCAGTTTTCATAGCTTCGTTTGACTCTGTTGGCACCTCGGAGAAGAAATGAGTGTTGTTCCCATTTTACAGAAAAAGAGAGAAGATAATGATAGGAAAGAGAGTCAGAATTTGTCAAACCAGGGACAGCACCTTGTTCAAATCCAAGCCGGAGAAGGATGTTAGCTGAAAGTGGTTCCAGTTTGCATTTTACTGCAAGTAACTCCTCTATGGCTGTTTGAATCTATTCAAAAAAAAGGAAAAAAAAAAAATACCACAAGTTCATACTGTGGGCATAAAGATCACTCATACTTTTCCCACCTCCCCCCATTATCTGAGGAAGTTTCCCACCTGATGGGCTGTGGCGTTTGCAGGGATTGGCTGGCTAGAAACATTATCCCAAGCAAGGAAAAAGTTCCCTCTGCCAGACACATTCAGCATCTAAAAATTCAAAAGGAACAGGACTAAATCACAGGCATTAAGTAAACCAGAGAAGCGATCTCAGAACATGGGACATGGTTTCTCGCCTTCCTATTTCCCTTTTATTATAATTTCAATTTTCTAAACTCACTGTCATCTAGAAACTACTGGAGAACACAAGTTCCAAGTGAGAATTTTTCTTGAAATAATACATGTGTCTGTCTCCCGCCTTCACTTCAGAGTCTGAGACTTAAACGTTGCCATTAAATGCCAAACTTTCAGCTTTGCTTCCAATACATTACCTGTTGGACACATTGCACTTTGTTATGGCGTAACACCTGGAGAGCTTTTAATCTCTCATACCACTTACTATTTTCTACTTTGTTCTAAGGTTATGTGTGTACATATCTTACTTTTAGACTATAAGCTATAGAGGGCAAAGTTTATGTTGATTTATCCTCATCCACAAAAAGGGCACAATAAAAAGTACACCAAAATTGTTCAACAAAAATATGACATCCAAAGGTCTCGACCTTTACAAAGTAGGCTTAGAAAAAATAGTATATGGGGAAATGGGACCTGAATAGGTTAAAAAGCTATGGAGTCATGTGGTATGTATGTGTGTGCACGTGCATGTGTTTGCACGCATGTTTTGTGTGTGTGTGTTTGTGTGTGTGTTTGTCTGTGTGTGTGTCTGAAGCACCTCATCCTGTACTGGGAAAAAAGTTTCCAAAGAAGACTTACCCGGAAGTTAAATTCCTAAAACTAATTCAATGAGTAAGATAATCTCAATAATAAGACTTTACATTTTTCAGAATGTCTTCACAACTCTATTGGATAGATACGCTGTGCCTTAGATGGCAGATCTATAATTACAACTCAGATCTCCTGGCTCCCAGCCAGTGACCCTTCTACTAGGCTAAGACTATTTTCCTCCCAGAGTTCAGCCCCAGTACATAGACCCTGGGGAAGAGACACAGACCTGTACTTCGGGAAGCCTCTGGGCACGGGCTCGGATCTGGTGCTTCTCCCGGAGGTAGGTGCTGACCACATCGGGATTCAGCCAGGTGTTGTGGATCTGCACACCAATCTTCATTCCCCTGCTGGGGGATATCCCATGATGCTCTGCTTCCAGGTAGTACTTGACTCCACCTAATAGCTCCAATTTGGGGGTCTTCCGGTGCCAGGTCCCTTCATTCCCATTCTGCTCCCAGGAGTCAAACCAGTCAGCAGTGCCAACCCTAATGGAGGCCACTTCCACCTATATCCAAATAAGCATAGCAGGATCAATACTCTGAAGCTTCTGGGCATCTCTTTCTCAAACAGGAAGTGTCTGGACAGCCACTAACAAGGGATTTTTGGCCTTCTCCACAGTGAAACTTTCTCTCAAAGGAACCAGAATGACTGATCTGCCTTGTCCAATATGTTTTTGTTGTTGTTGCTAGGTGCCATCGAGTCGATTTCAACTCATAGCGACCCCATGTGACAGAGTAGAACTGCCCCATAGGGTTTTCTAGGCTGTAATCTTTGGTGTGGAGCACTGGTGGCTCAGTGGTTAGGAGTTATGGCTCCTAACCAAAAGGTCAGCAGTTCAAATCCACCTTATGGGGCAATTCTACTCTGTCCTGTAGGGTCAATATAGGGTCACTATGAGTCAGAATTGACTTTACAGCAACGGGTTTGGTTTCATCTTTTGTGCAGTGGTTAAACTACTGGGCTGCTAACTGAAAGTTTGGTGGTTCAAACCTACCAGCCACTCTGTGGGAGAAAGATGTGGTAGTCTGATTCCATAAAGATTTATAGTGTTGGAAACCCTATGGGACACTTCTACTCTGTCCCATAGGGTCTCGCTGAATCAGAACCAACTCGACTGCAGTGGGTTTGGTTTTATTTGGTTTTAATCTTTATAGAAGCAGATTGCCAGGCCTTTCTCCCAGGGAGCCACTGCGTGGGTTCAAACTGCCAATGGTCAAACAGCCAAGCGCTTAACCATTGTGTCGCCAGGGCTCCTTTCCAACACGTTAGCCCAGCCAAAAATGGGTCTGTGGTTGTGTCTACGCTTCTCCACCCCCCATTCTCTCTCTCAACTGGCAAATATTCAAACAAGTCTCAATGGATCATATTTAGAGTAGAAATAATTAACATAAAACTCTAGGTTTATATGATGCTGTGGATAAAGTAGTATTAAACTGTTTGAGAACTGTAGAATGATTTTACCACGACAAAAATCTAGGACATTTTTTCTAACCAACTAGCAAAGCAATTTCATAGAAGCATACTAATAATTTGAGAAAAAATATTGTGGTTCTTTGTCAAAGTACCTAGTAAATTTAGACTGCTTGCTAAAGGTACATTATCTTATCCCTCAAACTTGGTGGGGATATTGCAACATAAGACTAGCTGCCTCTCTACCCAAACTTAGTGGGAAAGGCACATGTTTGGTGTCAGGCAAACCTGGGTTTGAATGCTGAATCTGCTGCATACTAAGTGGCCCTGGACTGCCCGTATAATCTCTCTAAGCCTCTATTTCCTCACCTGAAAAATGGAGCTAAATATATGTACCTGGAAGAGATATCGTGAAGATTAGAGACAAGGTATGTAAAAGATCTAGCATAATGCCAGGCTTACAGTAAGTACTCACTAAACGGAAGATGCCATTACATTCAGCCAAATTCTTTTTCACCAAGTAAAATCCCTGGTCACCTAATGGCATGTTACAACCATCAGTAGGACACAAGAGCTTTAGTTTTGATTTTTGTTTTTTTCAGGAGTGATAGACTGGGGACGGAAAGAAGGAAAATGAAAGGAAGGTGAATACCTTGGTCCTTGGATCCTCTGGCCAACTGAAATGCAGGGCAGCTTGGCTATCTGCCTGTATCCAGAAAGTGTAATTATTTGTCTCTGGGGCCACAAAGAACCCACTGAGCCGTGCTCTGTGAAGCAGAGGAACACAGAGTCATGCGAGAGCAACCAAGACCTGAATCGTGGAACCAACAACTGGTTGCCATTGTCCTTTGTTTTTCTTTATGGTAATGAGGAAGAAAAACTTGATCCTTGTGCCATCTGACTGGCCAGAGTACTCCAGAAACAACTATTCCTGTAGCCCCTGTCTAGTCTGAATATCCCTATCAATCTTGGTACACTGGCTGCAAACTGAGACATCTTTGGGAGTGTTGTAGCTGTGGTACAGGGCTGGACAGAGGCTTAGCTGAGAAAACACACCTAACACAGCCAGTCCAGGGTCTGGCCTAGGGTAGGAACTCAGTAGTAAATGTTATTCTTATTATTAGAAATGAAGAGAGATCAAGTAGAACTTGCTCTGAGCTTACTAGATACCTCAATACCTGCAGAGACTATCTTTCCAATTAAAAATATTATGGACCACAGAGAAGAGTTGACTGAAGGTGTCAACAATTGCAAATTTAAAAGCCATAAAATGCAACTTTAAAGAAGATTTCAGGCAATTTTATGAGACATTTTAAAAATAAGATTTTTTTTTAAGTTTAAGATAAATTCTAGTGACACAGTATTAGAGAGAGATATCACCAAGGTATCTTTCTGATTAAACTGCCTGAATAAACAAAAATATTTTCTGCTTCTGTTATTTTTTTAAATCTTTGAGTCATCAATATAAAGATATTTTTGTTTTGCTGTAATGTACACATATATGTTATTTTCATCTTTGGAAAGAATTTTATTTTTTAAAATAGTTTTTTAAAAGAACGACAGTCGTGCGCTGCATAACGTCCCTTCCGGCAACGTCGAACTGCACAGACGCCTGTGGTCCTATAAGATTTTCTTTTTCCCCCTCTACGATAAAAGGCAATTGTTTATTAAAGAAAAGTCACTTGTGAAATACTCTACTTAGATTAGTACGTCTGATATGAGCACTGTGGGTTGAAACATGCCTTCTTTCAAATAACAAATGTAACGATTCAAGCAGCCTTCAGAGTCACAGGGGAATACTCTTTGGAGAGGGGTGATCATTCACTTCCCAGTGAAACAGTCAGTCACTTCTTGTAAACATCATCAGATGCTAAAAAATGCAGACTGACAACTACCGTCACAGGTTTTTAAGCAGGAAGATTAAAAAGTGGGAGAAGACTCCCCACCTAGAACAGTTCAGACGGGGCTCTGAGGGCGAGTTTCAGCAGCCCCTCCCACAGTGCCCTTCTCTTCGCACCACTGCCAGCTGAGCCAAAGGATCTCCACAAACCTTGGCTCTTCCGACCTTGGCTCTTCAGTTACCAGTGAACCCACCGGGACCTCTATGCCAGCTGAGCAGTGAGAAGAAGCGCCGGATCTGGGCCTCCTCTGATGGCCGCCGCAGAAGGGAGCAGCGAGGCGGTGCTACATGAGGTTCAGGATCTGGAAGATCTTGGAGATCTGCAACATGACTGGCTCTGTCTCGGGGTCATTATCCACTGCATGCTGTTAAGTGGGTTCTTGAGCATGTCTTCAAACACTAGTAGCGTCTTAACGTCGGTCAGACCCAACCCCACCACGGGGTTGTCCAGGATGGCTTGGAAGAAGGAGTTTCCAGGGTCCATGACCTTGTCCAGCTCCCGGGAGGAGAGCTTCCGGTCTCCCAGCAGCCACTCGTAGGCAGCGTTCCACTGGTGGTTGTTCACGGGAGGGCATCGATCACCTCCTTCTCATTGAACCCCATTTCCATCAGGGAAATGACGGCCTGTGCTCCGCCTGGAATTACCTTTTCCTTCATATCTTCTTGAAGACCTGCGTTGGCTGGCCTTTGACCCCCTCATCTCCCGCACTGGTCCCAGCGGGCGCCTCTGCGAGGCGGTCCTGGAAGAGGTGTATCTACCGTCGGGTCTACCACATGCTCAATGAGCCACTCCATGGCCTTAGTCACTAACACGTGCTTCAGCCGCAGGGCCTTCATGGCGCTGGTCTCTGGAAAGTCCCTCTCCATGAGCTGCCGCAGGGCAGCTTTATCAACTCACTCCTCCTCATCCTTGTTCAGCATGGCATTTACCTTCTTAATCCCTTTAATGTGTAGTGGAGCATATAAGTACCACCTACATTTTTCACATTTGGGATTTATGAGGAGGCTCGTTTCCCACCTATAGGCTGTGCTGGTGTCGGAGTAGGGCTATCTATAATGGCATAAATGCCTTGTTGGATGGTTGGCACCATAACTCCGTGTTGAGAGGTTAGTGTATGAGGTGGTGCATTCTTGAGTGTTTGTATGGAACTTTGGTCTGATTGGGTTTCTGCACAGCAAGATAAGCCTTGTGAGTATGCTTATTGTTTCCTGTGTGTTACTGGGAAGGTGAGGTTGGAATTGGGTAATGTTCAAGCAAATAAGTTATTTTCAGATGCAACACAGTGTATGCATGCTTTGTAGCATGCTGCATGACCACTGGGACATGTAAGTCCCCCCTGTCCTACCACCAGAGTCCACTGGGACATATGTGTCTCACATATTTATCAAAATCCATCTTACCTAACAAAAATTTACCAACACTTCATGATTCTCATGCATTCCTTTAATGAAAAACATTACATCACCAAAAAATTACAAACACAATTCTTTCATGAAGAAATAATTCCATGGCACCAGGGTTCAGTGTGGGCAATTTTTGTGCCACCTCAATGAGGGATACCAAGATTTTCCAGAGTTCTGTCTGGAAGTCTCGCATGTTGGTCTGGACAACGGCCAGTCCACGTTGCAGGAGGGCAGGTTGACTTCGCTGGAATATAGCATCTCTGTCTGGGGCTTTGTGGTCTTTTTTCTTCTTTTCTTCCACAAAGACATCAGCCATCTCAGGAAGTGGTGCTGGGGCCCACTTTTTTTCTCAATAATAAGACATCTTTATCTTGAATGTTCTCAGATCATTTTGGTATCATTCAGCACTCTCTCGGAAGCAGCTGTATTAATTTATGATGCCTTACACTTTCAAGGTCTTCTAGGTTCCCATGTGCACAGTGCTTGAAGCAACGCCCCTTGAGCTTCTCCACCAAAGTGTCCTTGATTTATTTCCTCCTCCAGCCACTCAACACCATCGGCCGCACAGATGTCCAGCCAGCACCTTGCCCTTGAAGCTCTCCTGCTGCACAAATATCACACTGCTGCTGCCCAGCCGATGAAGTTCACCAGGGCGGGCAGGCAGGGCCTTGCCTCCCACGCACTAGCGCAGGCCCACGCCAGCTCCTGTCATCCCAGCCACCCCTCACTCTCCATGGCCTAAGCAGTCGTCTCACTCCTGCCACTGCCACCAGGGGTCCCATAAGGTTTTAATATAATAGGCTTTACAGGGTTGGTTCGTAACTACAGGTTGTAGTTAAATTACACATTCATAATCCAGGGACTGCCTGTATATAATGTGGTGTTCGCACAATGTCCAAATCACGTAACATCGTATTTCACAGAACATGTAGTGGACGTTAAATGATGCATGACTGTATTTGAAAAGTTCATCAATATAATAAAACTGACTTGTCAATCAGTAAATAAATATTCCAATTTTCTTAAATTTAAATTTTAAGCAAATGAATGTGAGAGGAAATGGAAAAAGAGTTGCTATCTGGTTTGTGACTTCTCAAAATGGCAATTAAAGGAACATAGCCTACAGGTCATAGAGAAAATGATTTTTGTTTGTTTACTTGTTTGTTTTCTTTAACTTTGGAGGTGGTCTCTTTCCTTAACAGCCCACACATATTAAATATAGCTGAAAGTTTTCCATTTGAACATTATTAATGGTTCTCAAAGCTGTGATGATGTTGTTGTTATTAGATGCTATGGAGTTCATTTTGACTCATAGCGACCCCATGTGACAGAGCAGAACTGCCCCATAGGGTTTTCTTGGCTATAATCTTAATGGGAGCAGATTGCCAGGTCTTTTTCCCATGGAGACTCTGGGTGGGTTCAAACCGCCAACCTTTCTGTTTACAGCCGAGCTCTTAACCACTGTACCACCAGGCTTTCTTATAGCTGTGATAAAAATGCAATATTAGTGCTATAAGAGGCCGCAAATTGCTACCACTTTAAAACTATAAATTGGTGGCTAAATACCCTTGTGAGTACAGCCAGAGACTATATGCAGCGTTTAGCTAGCAAGATTGAAGGAACAATGGAGATGCTATTCTAAAATTCACAGAATATCTTCCCTACTTTGCTTCTTCAATACGTGAAATTCCCTGAACAGGGAACAAAGTCTTTCATTCCATAATTTAGTTGAGTTGTAAGATACTAAAATCCATAGAGGAGGTCACAGATTGGCTGAAATTCACACTCAGAGGTCGTGACTAGCATCAAACCCCTTCCTGAGAAGGATTTTGAAAAAAGGAGAGATTCTTCGCATAGTAAAGGACCCATCCCTCTATATAAACATTGAGAGCACACTAAGGAAACAGTGTGTCTAAGCAATTCTCAAACTTTCTGTATTTTTAAGCCCACTTTAGAATACTAGCAATTTCAACCACATCATGAAGATTCAAAACAGTAGACAAAAACCATTATCATAATGCAGTCACTACAACAGAAAGCAATATCTCTCTGAGTTCACAAGGACCTCCCCAGCTATTACATCAGTCATTGAATTTACCTTCAGCACTCGGTGGTTGTTCTAATAGTACTTACTGCTCAGCCTTTGCTCCCTTACATGTCCAAAGGGCAAATTCTTGTATCTTCTTTTGGCATCAGCCAGATGTTAGCTTCACCTCTGTGATGGTTAAGATCATGTGTCAACTTGGCTGGGCCATGATTCTTAGTGTTTATATGTGATCACTCCCATGGTGGAATCTGCTGTGGGTAGCCAATCAGTTGAAAGGGAATTTCCTTGGGGGTGTGGCCTTCATCCAAATATAAGCAGACGTTCTGTATTTTTGCTCACTCTGGATCCTGCAGCTGCCTCCTGTTCATCTGACCTCTGGTTCTTCAGACTTGAGCTATCAGCTTATCTGCCAGTCTTGGGATTCATCAGTCTTCACAGCTTGTGAGCAGGAGCCCTGCTCTCTGACCTGTTGATCCTGAGTTCACAAGCCCCTGCAGCTCCGTGAATCAGGAGAAGCCTTGCAGTCTTGCCTGCTAATCTTGGGATTCATCGATCTTCACGGCCTGTGAGCAAGAGCCCTGCTCTCTGACCTGCCAATCCTGGGTTCCCCGAGCCTCTTCAGCTATGTGAATTGAGAGAAGCCTCTATCCGGATCCACAGCCTTGGGACGTTCCAGCCTCTACAATCACGTTAGCCGTTTCCTTGCTATAAATCTCCCTATATACATTTATATGCTTTACTGGTTTTGCTTCTCTAGAGAACCCAGCCTAAGACAACCTCCTAACCACATAACCTGCAGTAAGTTTTATACTGCTCTCTACCTAGTCTCCTGGCCCAATCTACTCATCTCAGTATTGCAATTGATAGTCATCTCCGAAGCAGATTGTAAACCAAGTTGAAGAAAATACAAAATTTATAAATTGATCAAAATTTGGGGGTACACCTATAAGGGGTCTGTGAAACACAGCATGATGGTCCAATATCAGTTGAGAATACCAAACTGTGTTGTTGAATTGGCTAGCGTTATAAATTCTCCCCTGGAAATCTCACTACTGTACTTATCCATATCCCAGCCTCACTTAGGCTAGTAAAGATGCTTTTAATATGGGATCTCCACTTTTCCTGGGATCTACAACATACCTGAAAGGTTGCCCTTCCTTTGACCAAAATCCAAATGGAGAACTAGCGTTCGGGACAATCTGCCACCTGTACCCAGGGGTGGCTTCAGTAAGGTCTAAGCCCTCAGCAGCATCTCCAACTTCGAAAAGAAGCCCTCGGTTGCCTGTAAGACATGTACAACTCATAAACATCAGAGGGCATTCCTCCCCAATAGATTACAGAGTAGAAGATGACCAAGGTATTATCTCTAAAGGTGAGTCAACTGAGTTTCAGATGGAGTAGTCATGTGAGAGGTTCTTTTGTCGTTTTGTTGTTGTTGTTAGTTGCTGTCAAGATGACTCTGATTCATGGTGACTTTATGTATAATGGAACTAAATGTTGCACAGTCCTGCGCTATCTTCATAATCTTCAATATGTTTGAGTCTGTTGTTGTGGCTATTGTGTCAATCCATCTCATTGAAGGTTTACCTCATTTTAGCTGACTCTCTACTCTACTAGGAGCCCTGGTAGCACAGTAGTTAAAAGGTCGGCTGCTAACCAAAAGATTGGCAGTTTGAATCCAGCAGCCACTCCTTGGAAACCCTATGGGGCAGTTCTACTCTGTCCTATAGGGTCGCTATAAGTCAGAATCGACTTAATAGCAACGGGTTTTCTACTATACCAAATACAATATCCACTTCTAGCAACCGTTTCTTAGATAATACAAATGTTCTAGAGGGCAGAAAATGCTCCTTGCTATAGGATTTAGCCTCTCAGAAGGAGATAATCAATAATGAATAGTAAAAGAAGAGATATTCTCAGAGGACCGGAGAAGAATGGGGAGTATTTTTTAATGGGAGTGACGAAGAGAACCAGGTCTTGGAGAAAATGTAAAAGCAGAAACAAAGGAGGATAAAGTGATCATGTGCTTATGGCTTGACTTGTCTTTGTGCTTCCCAAACCTGAGAGGAGACTTCAATATTTGTTAAGGTCCAGTTCAGCTTGAGCATTCCATTCCTTAAAGCCCCTTTCTTTCAGAAAATTGACAACATTTTAATTTTTCACATGCTATGCCCTAATTTGTGGACCTACACAGAGCCAATTACGTGGCATACTACTATTGCATGATATTTTAAATGATGTTGTATTTATTAATTTGAGTTTTATACTACACAAACCTGGAGAGCAAAGGCACAAGTGCAACATATTGGATACTAACTAGGGTTCAGGGTAAAAGCTCTAGAATCAGACAACTGTGGGTTCCAGATCTGCCACTTACTAGATATGAGGTTTTGAACAATTGCTTAATGCCCTTGTGTCTACTCTTTCTCATGCATCAAAATGTGGCTAATTATAAATAGAGACAATATGCTGAGGACTAAGGGAGTGTAAAATATATTCATAAAGAGCCTGAAATGTACTAAGTGCTCAATAAGGGATAGCTATGGAGTCCCTGGGAGGTGCAAATGATTAACGCATTAAGCTGCTAACCAAAAAGTTGGTGGTTGGAGTCTACCCAGAGGCATCTTGGAAGAAAGACCTGGTAATCTACTTCCAAAAAATCAGCCATTGAAAATCCTATGGAGCACAATCTTTTCTGACACATGCGAGATTGCCATGAGTTAGAATTGACTCAAGAACAATTTTTTTTAACGTTAATTATTATTATTTTAAACTACCACTGTTGTCCCTCATTAACCCTAAAATTGGGAAATAGAGAATAAGCAGAAAAATAAGAGTATATATTAGGAATATCACTTTAAATTAAGGTTTCCCAACCCCAGCATTGTTGACATTTGGGACTGGATAAATCTGTTATGGGGCCGTCCTGTGCACTGTAGAAAGTTTAGCAGCATCCCTAGCCTCTACCCACTAAAGCCAGTAACACCACCACCACCACCACCCCAAGTTGTGACAACCAAAAACATCTCCAGACATGACCAAATGTACCCCTGGGGACAAAATAGACACCGGTTGAGAGCCACTTCTTTAAACGCAGTAATCTTACGCAGTTCCATGGAGGAAACTTCAAAAGCTCTTCATAAAGGACATTGTTAACTCAAAAACAGCCGCATTCAGGAAATTATTCTACCACTACCCAAGTAGCTAAAGCAGGAAATGCTCCAAGAGGGAGCAGGCAGTCTGTTTCCTGACACAGGAAACACGCATTCTCTAAAGAACTTGTTTCAGTAGTTTTGTTTCCATGGATGGGCGCTTTCCCTGAGTGAAAACTGCAGATCTGGGACCTGGAGAATTCTCACGCCAAAGCTTTGCATACATTTCCATACTTGAGTGGCCTTTCTTTAGAAAGGTTTCTTCCCCTGCTGGGCAGCTTTCCTTTTGAGTGCCAAGCCTCTAGAGTTGACCTGCATCTGCCGGTAGTTTAACCATGAAGTCCGCCTTTTGTGGGACAGGTAAGGAAAACACAATGCAGCCTATGGTTCTGGGGTGGTAACACACCAGCTGCCCTTACTTCCTAACTACACTTGAGTCTCCAGTTCTAATGCGTAGCAGAAAACTAAGCTTTTAATTTGTAGCCATGATGTGGGAGCTTTAAACATAGAAAGACAGGTGAAACCTGCCCCTTTGCCTCCTCCATTTCTGCCCACTTCATGCATAAGCTCATGGCAACATCACAGTACAGCCTTACTTTCAAAGTAGCAGATGGCATTCTGCAGGGGAGAAGAGTCAACATTTAACTGCACCCCATTGTCTAAAGCTCTCTGCCTTGTCTAATGTCTGCTGCTATGACTATGCTCTAATGTTCCTGTCTTCTTAAACAATGGGCATGCCTATCCTATGTAGGGAGACAGTGTGGAGATTTCTTCCAGTAGTAATAACAATGTCTTAATGATAGTTATGCTTTCTGGATGATGGTCTTTGCTAAACCCCATTGGCCATCCATCTGGCTGGGACTAGAAGCACAGAGTGTCCCTAAGCCTCTGAATAAAGATAAGAGCCTCCTTGATCTGAACCCTCGAGAATGTATCGTCAGCCCAGGGTTCACTGAACTATCCAGTCTAATGGCTGAGACAAAATTCAAACATTTTCATTTCTACTCCCCAGCCTCTTGCGATAAAATTGCAACCAGAGAGCCATGGAATAGCGCTGTGACTTCCTTACCTGCCTGAGGAGCAGTGAGCCTTGCATCTTTTCCTGGAGACCTCGTGGTACACTCGATCTTCCTGGGAGACACGTGTCTAATGTCACATGGAATGTCTAACAAGAACAAAATATATATACGTATATTCATATATATATAGAGAGAGAGAGAGCCCTGGTGGTGGCACAGTGGTTAAGCACTCGGCTACTAACTGAAAGGCTGGTGGTTCCAACATACCAGCTGCTCTATGGGAGAAGGATGTGGCAGTCTGCTTCCGTAAAGATTACAGCCTTGGAAACCCTGTGGGGCAGTTTTACTCTCTCCTTTAGGGTCATTATGAGTCGGCATTGACTTGACAGCAATGGGTTTGGGTTTTATATATATATAGATATATATACACACACATATATAGAGAGAGAGAGATGAGATGACAGAACCAGACCGATGTGGACAGGCTCCTATTCAAAGGCAAAGGGCTAGATGTAGAGAGCATAGCAGAAGTTGAAGGAGGCCAGGAAAGGGAGAGTGCAGAGCACTAAGTAGACCATAGAGCAGCTTATAGTAATCAAAAAGAAAGGAATGCAATGAGGATGTACTGAACGTTTTCCAGCTGCTGCTCAGCTGACCTTGGGAGGGCAAGTGTAACTCGAGAGTGTGCAGACACTTCCAGAATTCTTGGTGTCACCAGCTAAAGGAGCAGCCCACCTCACAGAACGAAAGGTTCTAGACAGATCCCACAGAAGGGTCTGCCAGGAGACAATCCAGAAGAATCTGCATAGCAATGCCTGCCCACTCTGGAGTCCCTTGGTAGTCCAAATGGTTAATGTGCTTAGCTGCTAACCAAAAAGTTGGAGATTTGGGTTCACTCAGCAGTGTCTCAGAAGAAAGGCCTGGAGATCTACTTTTAAACAATCAGCCATTGAAAAACTGTATGGAGCACAGTTCTACCATAACATGCATGGGGTCACCATGAGTCAGAGTCAACATGACGGCAGTTGGTTACTGGTTAGAGCAAGGAGAGTTGGGAGAGGAGTTCCTTTTTGGTGGAAGTAAACCTTTATAATGAGGCAACTGTACTTTTCCCTTCTCTTCTCCATGACGAAGAAAGAAGTCACTCAGCTTGCCCCACTCCACACCTCCAAGATGAGGATGCCTGCGAAAACTGCCCATGAACTGTGAGCACAGAACACTAACATCCTGTTCCTGTTACACATTTGCAGAGCTGCAGGACTTCAATCCTACCTGTTCCCAACCAAGCACAGGTAAAGCAGGATGCACAATAAGTCTGAGAGGGCAAAGGTTGCTTCCCCCCACAATCCCCACGCTACAGGAGATACATAATCGCCTACAGCATTTAAAACATCAACTATTTTCAGTCATTTCTACTTGGTTACCTGCAATGGTCACCTGGGCAGGGTTGTCAAAGAAATCTCCTGTAATTGTGATGTCTGTTCTTCCCCCAAGGCTCCCAGTTTCTGGAAACACAGATAGTATTTCTGCAAGATGAATAAAAAGTAAGCTTCTGAGTATAGATCAGCATGTGACCCAAATAATAATATAAAAATAGAAGTGGTCAATAATTTATTTCTTGCTTTAATTTTCTAAGACTAGCAATAGTTAGAATTTTTAATTTCTAGTAATAATCATTAAGGTCCCTGGGTGAGGCAAATGGTTTGTGCTCAACTACTAACCTAAAGTTTGACAGTTCAAACCCACCTACTGGCATCATGAAAGAAAGTTCTGGCTGTCTGCTTCAGTAAAGATTACAGTCAATAAAACCCTATGGAGCAGTTTTACTCTGTAACACACATGGAGTCTATAAATCAGAATCAACTCAACGGCAATAGGTTTGGTTTTGGTTCAGTAACCAAACCAAACCGGATGCTGTCGAGTCGATTCCAACTCATATGTACATAATATGAAAAGGACCATATATACATTAAATATGAAGAATCAAGTGTTTTAGAGATGGGAAAATGCAGAGTCACTCATGGCATTCACAAACCACCCTCCCCCTCTCATCCCCGTACCATGATGCTTTCTTCAGAAATCTGTTTTCCTACCTCAAAGACCTATTTACAAGTCAGAAAACAGTAGGTTACCCCATATGGCGGAATCAACCTTGGATGGACCAGACAAGGCCTCAATCCACCCATGTGAGTCTGCAGTTTGCTCTAAGCAAACAAATGATGCTGCCATCAGCACCCTCCCACTCCTTCCCCTCCTGCACCCTCCTCCCTCTATGCACACTCACTACCTCATACTCAGTTCTTTCATGCTGCCTCCTGATTGTTTAAAACCCCTACAATAATATGCCACATATGCTCAAGAATTTAACTTTTTCTGACCCTTTCCCCTCCTTTGATCAAACTTTAATAGTTCTTAAATTTAATTCCCTCCAGTGGAAAGAAATGTTGTATTCTCTAATAAACTAAAGGTACAAAAAGGCTAATCATTCCAAAATACTAATTTTATCAAGGCATTTCCTAATTATTTTACCCTTGAGACAAAGCAGACAAGATATTTGGGGGCAAAATCAAAATTCATCACTACTACTAATAAAAATAATTCCCTTATTTTAATCTACTACTTTATAATTTTTTCAACATTCACAGACCACCTGCTATGAGGTACTAGGGATATGAAGATGACTGCAAAGTAGTTCCTGTCCTCAAGGGGGTCATTCTAGTAAAAAAGGACCAGTACACAAAAGTACAATTATACTACTGAGGGCTAGTGAAATTAGAGAGAGGGGAAGGTTTAGGGTTGAGGTAGGAGTATGACAGGGTAGAAGGAACCCGTCTAGAGATGACCGCTGAGCTGAATCTTAATGGATGAATTAGAAACTGACCAAATGAAGAGGAGGTAGAGAGGAAAAGCCTGAATGTGGGGAGAAGAAATTGCACAGTGCATGTAGGTGTTGCTGGAACTTAAGAGAGATGGAGCTAGAGAAGCAGATGAGGAGTAGATCAGAAGCTTGAACGATTTTCTGTAGCAGACGGGAAGCCGTCAAAGAATGGCAAGCAGGGAGAGGCATCAGATGGGTGTTTGGTGTAGAGAATGGTGGTGGCTTTGTAGAGTATGGATCAGCAGGGAACAGATCTGGCAGAGCAAGGACCCCTAAGAAACTATTGTAGCATTCCAGGCAAGAGATGATGGGGTCTGAATTAAGGCAGAGATTGTAAAGATAGAGGGGAGACCTCATATTTAAGAAATACGTAGCAGGAAAGGTGGGTCAAATCCACTCAGAGGCACCTCAGAGGACAGGCCTGGTGATATGCTTCTGAAAGATTGCAGCCTTGAAAACCCTATGGAGCAGTTGTACTCTACACACATGGGATCACCGTCTCCGTGAGCTGGAATCAACTCAAGGGCAATTAACAACAACATGGGAGGTGGAGGTAAAATTGGCCAAAAATGGTGATTAAGTAGAGGCAGAGATGAGGAAAATATTGGATGAATCCTAGCATTCTTGCTCACTTACTTCTTTCAACAACCTTTGGAGTCAGAAGGACAAACACAACTTTGTCCATTTTATAGATGTTTAATTGAGGCTCAGAAAGGTTAAATGAGTTAACCAAGCTCATACAAGTAGCAGTTGAATGCTGGCCCTCAAGAAACTCAAGTCTAGAGTTCTTTGCAGTTGTCCACATCCCCTCTCCACACAGACAGCTGCCTCCTCTGCTATATAAGAAAGTTCTGGCCTGTGAGTCCTCATTGTAAGAAGATAGTGACCCTAACCAAAAACCTGTTGCTGTTGAGTCAATTCCAACTCACAGCAACCCTATAGGACAGAATAGAACTGGTCCATAGGGTTTCCAAGCAGCAGCTGGTGGATTCGAACTGCCAACCTTTTGGTTAAGAGCTGAGCTCTTAACCATTGTGCCACCAGAGCCATATAAAATACCTGTTTGGTTTTTAGTATGACATTTTACTCATCAGATGGCAACACAATAGCTTAGTATCAGTATCAACAAGTCATAAATTACTGAATGAATGCTCAGAGGTGAGGGGTCTGAATAAATGGAAAGATGGGCTTTTATATTTTAAGTGCCAATGTTTTTCTGTTAGTTATCAGAACATAAAACAAGGCATGACTACCCTTTCTTTTATTCAATGTCCATAGACTCTGTGTTGAAGTCTGTGCTTGAGCTTCTTTCAATATAGTAACTGTTAGGATTGAATTGTGTCTCCCAAAATACGTGTTTGAAACCTATTCCCTATAACTATGGCAGGAGCCCTAGTGGCCCAGTGGTTAAGGCACTCGGCTGCTAACCGAAAGATTGGAGGTTCGAACCCACCAGCTGCTCCTCAAGAGAAAGATGTGGCAGTCTGCTTCCGTAAAGATTTACAGCCTTGGAAACCCTATGGAGTAGTTCTGTTCTGTCCTATAGGGTTGCTATGAGTAGGAATCGACTTGATGGCAGTGGGTTTGGTATTTTGGTTTATACACTGTGACTGTAATCCTATTTAGAAGTAGAGATTTCTTTGTTCAGTTAATTATATCAGACTTGAGTAGGGTAAATTCTAAATCGAATCACTTCCGAGTTATAAAAAAAGAGCAGACTAGAGACACACACAGGGAAAGACAGCCAAAGAACCAAGGAATGCCCTGAGCCACTGACAGGGAAAGAATCGACATGGCCAAGACCCTGCTTTGGACTTCTAGCCTCCAGGACTGTGAGGAAATAAATTTACATTCTTTAAAGTCACTCCCTTGTGGTATTTGTGTTACAGCAGCACTAGAAAACTAAGACAGTAACTAAAGCTGACACTCATAGAATCAATGTATTTTCAACCCAAACCAAAGGCCATCCATGGTTATGGTAACAGTCAGTGAGTCCACAGCACTTCAGGTGTTAGTGGTCATTTAGAAGCGGCGGGAAGTAAGGGGAAGGATGTCCAGTGTTGAGACATGAGGGAAGGGATGAGGAGTCCAGTGTGAAGGGAAATAGTACCTGAGTATGTCTGGTACAGGAAAAGGTCCTGTTTGGCACTGATCATCCATGCATTCTTGTATACCATTGACCTTAAAAAAGATGAGGTAGCACCTGGCATGAAAACAGCAACATCCATGGGGTTGCGTTTTTTAAACTGGCGCCTAAAGGGAAGATCATGGACTAGCCTCTAATGATCTTTAGGACAGTTTGGTTACCAGCTCCAGCTGTTGATTAGAAAACAATACCAATGGGCAA